ATATATATATATATATATATATATATATATATATATATATATGAAAGATTCGACCCTATCTTAGGCTGATTTGGGGCTCCTGAAAGACATGTTAGAGAATAAAGAAGAGTCTTAACATTTCTAGGATTCTTCAGTTTCTAACATCATAATTCAGGAGCATGCCTGATACTTTCTGGGCCTCAAGAGGGGGTATATAAATGGCAGCAATTGCATTTGGACGTTGCTAATCTTCAGACAGTGCATTTGCCTGGTTCTAATAGTTCCTAAAGTGCTCTTGAGAACCCTATTAGATAGTAGCCACATATGTGTATGGCTCCCAGTTGAGTAATTTTCTGATCATAAGAGATCAGAGAGCAGTTGGGGCAAAAAAATTGCAGTGAAAAACCAAGTCTTCAAGGTGCGTACTATGTTCCTTGGAACCAGAAGAGAATTGTCCAGAATGTTTAAATTTTTTTTTTAATTTTCTTAACCATTCATGGAAAATGCTTGCCTCCAAGTTTCTATCACATCCAAATATTAATTTACGCTCAATAACCACAATCTCTCCTGAAGAGTCCGAGTTATTTATAATCAGACTTACAGATTTTGATTAAAAATTTTTTTCTCTGTAATGTAAAATCCAAGGTACAAAATGAACAAGCATGGGTAACAGGATGGCTCAGAAGGCAAGGGAACTTGCCAACAAGTCTGTTGACACCAGTCCAATCTGTTGGACTCACACCCTAGAAGGGCAGAGCTGACATTTGAAAGCTGACCTCTGATCTCCACACATGTGCCATGGCATGTGCACACAGGTGTGCACACACACACACACACACACACACACATGCAAAGTGAGTAGATAAAGGGCAATAAAAATAGTTTTAAAAAGTAAAAGAAAAAGCCTGAAAAGGGGGATGTCATGATTCACGCCTCAGCATTCAGCTCTAGATAGAGGGAACAATATTATATGATTCCTGTGCTGAATAGCTCTCTGTTTTTTTTCCACAGTGCCAATGAATTTCCTTGTTACCATTGATGTACGTCTTAGAGTGTGCAATACTGTGGTTTAGCATAGGTCTAAGGAAATAAATTTATTGTTTTTACACAATGTAGAAGTAATACGTGAATGTTGCCCAAACATAAATGACACAGAAAGATAAAATAGTAACATAAAAATTCCATATAACATCACAGAGAGAGATATGAATTGTCAACACACATTGGCCTCCTCATATTTTTTTATGCTTGCATCAGATAACACAACTGCACTTAAGAACATTCCACACTCACGATCCTGTTATATAAACCATACGTTTTGAAATCATGTTTACTTCTTACATAAATCCTCACAGTCTTTCCACATTATTATATTCATCTATGGCACTACTCTAAAAGGTTAGGAAGTTTCTTGGTGTACATTTCCCTTCAGAATATAAGCAGTCTTCTCTGATGAACATGTGCTAATTAGATTTAGTTTTGCTTATGTTTTACATTAACTGCATAATGCTTTGTTGAACATCTCTGAACAGTTGTGTGAATATCCCCTGCAGAAGAAGAACCAGAAAAAGAAGCTTTGTGTTAGAAGGCATAAATATGAATATGGGAAGTTTGGGTAGGTGTTGTCCTATTGCTTTTAGAGCCTTGATGGAGTTCTTCTTCCATCAGCAGGGTATGTTAATGTGACATAAGAGCTTTTCATATTCTCTTGCCTCCATCCTCCTCCTCCACTTCCTCATTCCCCTCTCCTCCCTATGGCCTTCTTCCTCATTCTCTTCATCCTCTACTTCTCTTCCTTCTCCTCTTCATTCCCATCCCTGCCCCACTTCCTTCTACATAGTTTGTGGGTAATGATACTAAAAGAAGCTTCATTCTGAACTGCTGCATCTCTAAAGTAATTTTAAATTGTATCTACTCACAGATGAATGGTCTCATAATATTTGTTGCTGCTTGTCTGATATTTCACGTCTCTAAATGAAAGTAAAGAATCTCACTAAGTTAGAAAATGTGAAGGTCATCTTGGTTTTACAAAGGGCTTTATAGCATTCTGTTGATCGCTCCCACACACATCCCATCTATTTTTAGTCTGGATCCATCTTCCAGATGATTTGAATATTGGCTCATAAATGGCTTCTAGTTCCTGAACTGCCCTTTGCCAAACAGGAAGCTAAGCTGTCTCTTTGCTTTCCTTTCTGGACTTTGGATCTTCCTAGCCTGGACAGGAGACAGCTGTGATGCCACTGGTGCTTTGGCACTCTTGGATCCTTCAGGATTAGCCCGCAGCTGTCAGTACTGTTGGTCTTTTTTCCTTCCTGCTTACTAACTTGCTTCCCTCATTCTCAAAGTAAATATCTCAAGCCAGAACGTGCTTCTCAGACTTTGTGCCTAGACCCTAGAATCTAATACAATCTAAGACAAATGCTTTCTACAAATAGAAAAAGTGAGAAATGATTTCTTTTTTTCAAACCATTTTATTTCCCAGTCATAAGTTATTGCTATAACACTCTTAACAGGTAGAAATGATTCATAATGGAAGTATGGCTGTCAGATGCATATTGACTTGCCACGGGAAAGGAAGGATGTGTGTTTGGTAAGGAGGGAGTAATGTCGGATGCATTGTTTCACCGTGGCTGTATATGTCAGCATTAGACAAAGTTGACAGACTGGGAGGTACTTGGGAAATAGATTACTGTTTTCAGAGATTTGTAAGTGGCACTGTGTTTATTATCGTCTTTATTTTAGGAAATCCTAAACATTTTGATGATGAATCTGAAGTCAATAGAATCCCATTTTGTGAGTGGCATAAATCCCTGTGCCAGATAAGAATGATATTTCTTGATAATCTACATTATGAAGTATGTTTTTTATTTTAGCTCTGTTGAATGCTTTTTTGTTTTTTGTTTTTTGTTTTTTTTTTTCAGGAGACATTTACTGGTTCATTTCACATAAGGGTAGATTTTGAGAGAGAAAAAGATGAGTGTAAATTAATTCTTAAGATATTACTTAGATGAATATTTGATAAGCATTTTATTGCCCTCTTATATGTATGAATAAGTAAATTTAAACCTTTTTGATTCAGTTTCCGATATGGCAGCTAGCTAACTCATCTTAAGCAAAATTCCTAAAGGATTTGAACAGCATCATTCTGAGTGAGTAGGTTTTGTTTGTTTGTTTGTCTTAACTGTGTTTTTGGTAGTGGGGTTAAAACACACACACACACACACACACACACACACACACACACACACACACACACAAATGCAAGTAGTTAAATGTGCTGTCTCTGAGATCTTCCCAAGGCTGCTTTTGAACTGAGCTACATGGCTTCATGAAAGGGTTTTAGAACCCAGGTTCAACTGGATAATATCAGAATGCTTATTACCACCACTGGTATGTCTCACTGAAGTCCATACTTTGTAAACAAATGGCGTGCTGTGGTGACTGTAGTGGTCTGAGTGAAAATGGCCTCCATAGGTTCATAGGGAGTGGCCCTATTAGGAGGTATATATGGCCTTGTTGGAGAAAGAGTGTCACTGGGGCTGGGCTCTCAGGTTTCAGATGCCCAAGCCAGGCCCAGTGTCACTCTCTCTTCCTGCTACCTGCTGACCAGAATGTAAAACTAACTCTAAGCTAATTCTCCAGCATCATGTCTACCTGCATGCTGCCATACTTCCTGCCATGATGATAATGAACTAAACTGCTGAACTGTAAGCTAGCCCCCAATTAAATGTTTTTCTTCATAAGAGTTGTTGTGGTCATGGTGTCTCTTCGCAACAATAGAAACCCTAACTAAGACACTGGTACATGACTACAATCCCAGCACTCCGGGGGCAGAGGCAGGAGAATTGCCACAAGTTCAAGGCTAGCCTGATCTACATAGTGTAACCCTGTCTCAAAACAAAATAACAATGGTGAGAAAAACCTCAGCAATGAACAAAACAAAATAAAATAAAAATATGTCCAACATTTTGTATTTAATTCCTCTGCCATTGTTGTGAAAAAAGAAAGAAAACTGTAAGGGGGTGAACAGCCAGCTCAGGGAGACATTTTGGCATGAAGGATGACATTTGGGTTAGTCCGTATTTGTTGATAATCACCATTCCTTTCCTCTCCACTAGACTCTGTTTCTTAAGGTATCAATTTCTGAGTAGTCTTGGTAAAATGGAGGGGGGGGGTTCTTAAAAGGTTTTTAATTCACTACATGTGGATTTGAAGACTGCCAGCCCTCCCCTTGAGATTACAGTGCTCTCTGGAGCTGTTGGGCTCAGAGGAGATCATGTGACAAGCACTTCAGATCACTAACCATGCTTGGGAGATGGGGCCAGATGTTGCTGATTCTGATTTCTGGGGTTCTATAGCATGCATTTTTATTAACCTGCTGTAATTAAGACCCCAATCTTGACAGCCTGGGGCCTATTTTGGGAAAGTGGATGGTAAACAATGATAGTGCAGTTGGAGGTTTTGCAATGCAAACACTTCATGTTCATTCATGGCTGTGTGTTTTTGTCTCATTGTTTCTTATCAGCTGGGCTTCTGAATGCATCTAGGGACACTGCTTCCATCTAACAAGGAATCTAATTAGCTGTTTCTATTTTGGAGCACTTCTGTTACCTATCAGGATTGTTTTCCATCAAGTCAGCTCAGGTTTCAGCAGGTTTTTGTTGTTTTTTTCCTTTTCTAAGTCATAAGACAAAGTCATGAGGAAAGCTTCATGATCTAATCAAAACCGTTTGTGTCTGAAGGGAATGGATATGTTGAACTTCAGGTGGCAGACAATACTACCTCTCTTATCTCCTTGCTATAAGTGATCTGTTTCTGTCCATGAGAAGGATTTGATGTAGAAATATGGTTTAGGCTTACCTGTGTGATCCAAGACATTTAGATACAGTATGCCTTAGTGTTAGGAGTGTTCCTTGGCTTCTTCCAGAGATCTTGGGACATCAGATACTCTGGCTCCTTTCAAAGGCTTCCATCAGACTGTGGCTGACATAAGGAGGATGCTTATGAGAGCCAAGAGGTGATGGAATATGGTGATATATTGTCTGCCCTATTAAACTTGCCTGAGGATCAGAGGACAGAGCCAGCCACTAGATTAGACATTCAGGAAAGGCAGTGGTGGCACACACCCTTAATCCTATCACTTGGGAGGCAGAAATCCATCTGGATCTCTGTGAGTTCAAGGCCACACTGGAAACAGAGCCAGTCAGTGGTGGCACACACCTTTAATCCCAGTACTGGGAAAAACGCACGCACGCACGCACGCACGCACGCACGCACGCACGCACGCACGCACGCACGCACGCACCTTTAATCCCAGGAAATGACAGCCGGGCAGAGAAAGGTATATAAGGCATGAGGAAACAAGAACTAAAGCAGTTCAGCCGAAACCCTTTCAGGTGAGGACTCAGAGGCTTTTAGTCTGAGGAAACAGGATCAGACGAGGAGTTGGTGAGGTGAGGTTGGCTAGCTGCTCTGTTTCTCTGGTCTTTCAGCGTTCATATCTGTCTCTGGGCTTTTTATTAAAAGACTCTCTAAGATTTGGACAACAGTGGAAGGATGCTCATACTATAGCATAGACTTAAGGGCAGAATGCAGCACAGTTCTTTCTAATAAAATTGCAAAAACAGTTTTGTGGTTGGGCCCATCTTCCCTTTTCTTTTCTTTTGCATCTTTGCTCGTCCTTTCCCGTTCCTTGGAGATGACAGTTCCCTTTTGTGTTCCGACCACCCCACTACCCGACCCCAAACTGGGTTTTTGCTGGCGAATTGGTGGTAAGAGGAGCTATTTACACTCCAGCAAAAACTTTGATCTTTTTCATCTCCCACAAATATTTGCTTACACTTTTTTCCATGCTAAAGCCACTCCTGAAAATTCACATTTAGAGATTCCTAACAAATATACTGCATAATGTGAGTTTCATCAGGCCAGGGGTAAGTGAAAGCTTGTGATTCCATCATGGAAAACATACCGAATTCGAACTCTTTTTAACTGAAGGTGCAGTAATTAGGATAATACCTTGGGTGATAGTTGTTTGAAATATGGAATCCTCTCTTTCAGGTGTGATGGACCCTTTCTCAGTTCTCCAGCAGTGCATTGTAAAGATGTCTTGGAAAAGATGAGAATATGGTGTGAAGATTTTCCAAGTCAGGTACGTATGATGATTTTAAACAAAGGTCATTCTAGGTTCCACACAGCCTGCAGCCATTTCTTCTGTTTTCCTTGCCTTCTTGGGTGTTAGGCATGCATAGTTTGCCTGGTCATTCCAGACTAGAAATCGATGTGTTTTGGTGCTGATGAGATATATGATGACAGACTTCCATTATTATTTTCCCTTAAATCCAACATTTATGTATCTGTAATAGCCTTAAATCTCTACTAAAGGGTAATAGACTCACACAGGGAAGAAATACATAGTGAAGAAAAATATGGAGCCTGAATTGAATCCCTGAAATATGTGTACTTAATGGTAGCTGCCACCCAAGCAAGCTGTTGATTTCTCAGCAAGCCTGGGAGAGGAGAGAAGGTAACAAGGAGCTTGGCAGGAGAAGAACCTTTGCTTTCTGTTTTCCAAACTGGAGAAGTGTAGTTACAGCTCGTCCAGCCAATCAGAGTGACGCACGGTTAAGTAAAAAGTTCCTGGGTCAGAATGGAGAGGGACCTTTCTTCTTATTCACCATCTTACTCTCACCAAGACAAAGAATCTTGGGGAAGACATTCAGTGCCTCTGCTTTACAGTTCTCCATGAGAATGGGACTGATGCTTGTCTTCCTGTCTCTCTCATTCTCCTGGTCTCCCCCCCGCAGTGATGCTGTGGACAAACCAAACAAGGCTGTCAATAAACTACTAGGAAAACACAAACTGCATTGTAATGCAAGGGATTGCTGCTTTTATCCTAATTATTGTTATTATTATCAAAATTTTGTGGAAATTGAACCTAGTAAAGAGAGATATCTCTTTCTCCTTTTACTTCAGAAAGTCTAAATTAACCATCATTTGAGTCATTTGTGTCCTGACCCGATGCTGAATTGAGCACTGTGTCCTAGAACTTCTCTAAACAGAAACTCGGGGACCAGCTGAAATTCGGGGGAGGGACTGTCAGACCCCATGGACACAGATCATTCTAAGGACCGATGTGGAATCACTGAGGTGACAAGGGAGTTCAAAGGTTGCATTGGTGAAAAGTGGGGATGATGAGTGTGCATGAAAAGTCACTGGGAGTTCTTCACAAGGCCAGGTCTTCTTAGCTCTCACATCCAGAAATAACAACAGCTCAGATCAAAGCAGAAACTTCAGCTCCATCTAAGAAAGAACTCCAAGCCTCTTAAACCTCAATTGTGACTGACTACATTTACATTTTCATAAATAATGATCTAAGCAAATTCATGCCAAGGTATAAACAGTCAATCTTTCAGTGACTGAAAGGCTATCTGTGTACAAATCAAAGCAAGGGAAAGGCTTTTTATCAAATTATTGAATTAATTGTTTTTCTGTGTGAACTGATTCACATAACTGTACTCTTCTATGGAATAAAATTTAAACTAGTTGAATAACTTAACAACTGTAGTCAGTATCACTACACACACACACACACACACACACACACACACACACACACACACAAAATGTAGACCAAAATCAACTCAGCTAATTATGCTTTATAAATAAACGCTACTTCACCTAGGAGACTCACATATTTTATGAAATTTCTGATAATTAGATTTGGTCTCATCTGATAGTAAATATCAGGTTGTTACTAATTGCATCTGAATAGGAAGGTAAGAAGCAAATTATTATTATTATTATTGAAAATAGATTTTTTAATATATTTTGATTATAGTTTCCCTCTCCCCCAACATCTCCCAGATCCTCCTTACCTACCCAGATCCTACAAACAGGAACCTTTAAAAAAAAAAAAAAAAAGAGAGATAAAATAAAAACAAACAAGCAGACAAACAAATCATAAAAGGAAAAACAAAGAAAAGGAACCCAAGACAAAGCTCAAGAAACATGTGTAGACACAGAAACACACGTTTGCACACACAAAAAACCCAAAAAAAAAAAAAAAAAAAAAAAAAAAAAAAGTAAGATACACAAAAGGGACCTCTAAGATGAAAAGAAAACAGACAACCATCACTGCCAAAGCGTTAGGAGACACACAACCTCCAAGAATGCCACTGAGCTCATTTCGTGTTGGCCGTCTACTGCTGGGCGTGGGCACTCCCCTTTCAGAGGGGTTTGTTGGCCCAGTGAGACTCCTCTGGAGAAACTAATTTTCCCTTTGCAATGGGTTGCCCATTGGACAGCTTCTGGCTTAAGGATGTAGACTTGTGCCCATTTCCCCTCTCAGTGCGGGGACTCCATCGGGCCCAGACCTATGCAGGCCTTGTGCATCCTGGCACGGTCTCTGGGAGTTCATATTTGCATCAGTCCTGCTGTGTTTAGAAGGCCTTGTTTCCATGGTGTCCTCCATCTCCTCTGGCTCTTTCAGTCTTTCTCCCCGCCTCTTCTGCAGGGTGCCCTGAGCCCTGAGTGGAGGGAATTAATGAAGACATTCCATTTCGAACGGAGTGTTCCAAGGTCTCCCACTTTCTGCATGTTGTCTAGCTGTGGCTCTCTGTATTTTTTCCCATCTGCTGCAGAAAGAAGCTTCTCTGACGATGGCTGATTAGGATACTGATCTCTGAGCATAGTGAGTGCAGTGGTTCTCAATCTGTGGGTTGCGACCCTTTGGGGGGTCTAGTAACCCTTTCACCTTAAGACCACGTGAAAGTAGATATTTACATTATGATAACTGAAAGGACTGATAGCAGACACCCCAAGTTCTCAGCACAAAGGAGGTTTATTTGCTCCAGAGGTACAAACGGCAGGGAATATGACAGCAGATAGAAGACTACAGAGAAGCGGAAAGGAATAAAGGAGAGGACTGCCTCTGGATGGAGAGGAGTCAGATGTGGCCCACAGGCAAATGGTGGTTTATAAAGGTAAACCGGAAACCCTGTGTTAGGATGAGGTGTTCAGTTTTCATAGGACATATTAATTAGGACAGCCAGAAGGGAGCTTTTGAGTGCTAGACTTCAATACTTTGATAGCTGGACCTTGATAGTCAGCCTCAGGAGGAGGAAGTGGCCAAATAAGGGAACAGACCTTGGTGGCTAGCTTCAGGAATATAATCTGACTGCTTTTAACACAGAAGAGGGAACAGGAGAAGGGCAAAGCCTGACAGAGGTGTGTTTGTCCTGCTCAGGCCTACGAGCGTCTCTTCAATAACAGCAGCAAAATTAGTTATGAAGTAGCAATGTAAATAACTTTATGGTTGGGGGTCACCACAACATGAGGAGCTGTATTAAATGGGGGGCAGCATTAGCAAAGTTAAGAACCACTGGTAGAGCAGCATGTTTTTAGGAGTCATTTTATGTCAATGTTCCTTTAGTAGAACAGTAGTGTTTGGTTTTCCCCTAGGTCCCTGACCTATCTCATCTCAGGTTCCTGGCCACCTAAACAGTGTCACTTGTTGGTTTCATCTCAGAGCGTGCCTTAAATCAAATCAGATAGTGGTTGGTTACTCTAACAACCTTTGGGCCACTATTGCACGAGTGCATCTTTCAGGCAGGTCACCACTGCAGCCTGAAGGGTTTTCAGCTGGGTTGGTGTTTACCTTTCCCCTTTGGTAGTATGCAGAGTACCTATCAGAACCATAGACACTAGTTAGCACAGGTGGGTGGAAGCTCTAGGTAGACAGCAGCTCCATTCCCCCCATGGTCAATGAGTTGTGTGGGTGTTGGCTTCAGCAACAGGGCCTTGTGGTCAGTTTGTAAACAGCAATCTATGGCCTTTCTAGTACTGGCCATTCCCAGTACTGGAAGCTTTATTTAGTGGCAAGAGATGGCCCGATGGGGCTCTGTAACCCCCCATTGTTTGGCAGTTTCATTTAGATCACCTTCGTGTGTGTGTGTGTGTGTGTGTGTGTGTGTGTGTGTGTGTATTTCTAATTTATATATTAGCTCTAATATATACATACATATTAGAAAAGTTTTACTATATTAAGTTTCCTTTCTACCCCTCAAATGGCCCTTAATTTTAGCTGTCCCCTTCATATTTCCTCTGTCACCTCACTCTTCCCTCACTGTCCCTGTTTAATCCTCCCATTCCAAGCCCCCAATCGCTCCACAAGTATCTAGTCTATTTCCCCTTCCTAGGGTGAGCCAACCCTCCTCCCCAGTCCCTTACTCTAGTCCTAACCTCTGATGTTATGGATTGTAGACTGAAGCAAATTCTTGGAGGGCTAAGAACCCATGGAGTAAGAACTGTATAGGATACATACATGAAATTTTACTTGATACGTTATTTTGAGCATGCAGGAAACATTTTTTGTTTGTTTGTTTTAGTATTCACTGATTTTCGCTAATGGTGTCTTACTTCCCTGTGTGTCTTGTTATTTTCTGTCATATATTGCTCAGTTGGACCAGGAAACTTAGGATGCAAGTCATTTAATAGGGTGTCTACTCTAAGGGCTTGGCAAGTGAAGTTGAAAGGGACTCGCTCTCAGGACTGTGTTAGTTGTCAGGTGCCTTGCTTGCTTTGTGAGCCTCTCTGTAAGAGGCTTTAAGGAGGGCTTCTAGTGAATGCTTCCATGAAATCTGTGTCTAGGCCCTTGCCTCATTTTGATTGTTACTCCTGAAAGTTGCTTGCGTCCTTCTCCTGTTTCTCCAGTAATATATTCTTCTGAAGTCTTTGATATAGTTAAAGACTAGATAGTTATGATAAAAGATAAGTTAAATATGAAACCTTAAACTCGCAAATTTAAGATAGGATATTTTCTTTAATTTTGCCAAATACAAATAAACTAGATATTATAAATAAACTAGATATTGTAACTATAATTCTTGCTTGATAATTGTTTTATTATGTGTAATTTTACTATGTTAAAGTTAAAACCTTCCTTTTTGAAAAAAGAAAGGGGGAAGTGCTGGGGATGTCTTTCTGTTTGCTGTGAATGTGTTGCTCTGATTGATTGATAAATAAAATGCTGATTGGCCAGTAGCCAGGCAGGAAGTATAGCATAGGCAGGATAAGCAGAGAGGAGAATTCTGGGAAGTGGAGGGCTGAGTCAGGAGATGGTGCCAGCCACTGCTGCCATGAGAAGCAAGA